CCGGCCGCGCCCCGGCACCGCTGCCAGGGCCTGCTCCCCGAGGGGACAGCACGGAGGAGGTGGACGCGCCCGCAGCCCAAAGGCCACGCTGTGAGAGATACAAATACATGTCCGGTAACAGCACTGAGATCCAGGCAGACGGAGAGGGCGTTTGCTGGTGGTCATTTTTTCCCTTTGCTGCAGAGGAAGAGGTGATGACTCGGCCAGGCAGCGGTCCCTCAGCCTTGTCCTCGTCACAAAGCTAGGGGGAGCGGGCAGCGTCCGAGCCTGAGGATCATTACCCCCGGTACGGGGCCACGCTCTGGGGTGGCACAAGGCTCGGCAGCTCAGTGTGACAGGACAGCAGGGCAGAGGCCAACACTGGGAAACAGCTGAAGAGGACGTAATGAAACACAGAGCCAAGGAGTTACCACGTTTGGAACTTACTGCTTCACCATTGCCACCTTCCTCATTCATTTCTGCCATCTAAACACTTGTTTTATTCTTCCTGAACCCTCGGATAGGCGGAATAAACATCCTCAAGCACCAGAGAGGAGGCCGCTGCTGCTTCTCTGCAGCAACAGACATTGAAAATCCTAAGGAATACACACAAAGGAAGACAATTCCTACCAAAAACTGAGGACGTGGACAGCAGTACCCAGTCCGTATGACAAGAGATGACCTTCCTTCCAAGGTGCAATATGTATTCCTCAGTCATTTATGACAATAGCAGTCCAGGAAGCTTGTTTGCATGGATCCAAAGCACGTGCCTCAAAAATGTGAAAAAGAGGTCCTGGTCCTAAAAGGACAAATACTGAAAAGATTTAACATGAGTTTGTGGATTTGGTCCCTTTTTTTTTTTTTCTTATAGCAGAACACAGTATGATCCCAACTCGTTTTCCAACTCGGCACAGGGCCTGAAAGAAGCTGTCTGCACAGATACCTTTTCCCTTGCTCAAACTTTAACCGACACTGAAAGCATCTCCCTTGCACTCAGCACTTGGCTAGGACAGACCTTCCACTTGACGAGGGTGAGATCCCACTGGAATATCTTCCTAGCTCACTGGCATGAGTAGCTCTGACCCATCATTAAAGCATCAGAGCACACAATCCAGAATGAAGTTGCTCCATTAAACCATGTTTACCAAAGACATCATCCCTGCCGCAAAGAGAAGACACTTTATAGAAGGCGTCTAAGAGAGAAGGAACCTTAGGGAAGTACCAAAGTGGGGACAGGAGTTTGGGAATTCCTGATATTTTGGATTACAATCAACTTTTTCAGTGCTGGGTTGCCCTCTTGTAGGGACTTCTGTTCTGCAGCATGCCTTGGGCAAAGACCTAATCTAGCAAAGCAAACAAATTCAGCTAGAAACTGAGGGCTGCTAGTGCTGCCTGCAAGCCTTCCCATTTCCCCCCAGTTCTTTTTTTATTGCTGAATAGCTGATACATTCACCAATGGGAAAGCAACTGCTTCAATGCTTTTTTCTCATCGCTACTAGCAGAGGTAATGACTAAAGACAGGAATCCACTTTCCTATAAGCATCAAATGCCTCATTTACATTTGGCAGAGTGCTCTCCCGCTCTCAGCTGCATGCTGCAAAGCAGCGGCTAGATGGCACCCACACCCCGACGAACACCCTGACTGCGAGGAGCTGCACACCGCCTGCTACAAACGGCACTCACAGTAATTTCTGCTGCTCACTGGCAACAGCCTGTCTTCCTTTTTAAAGAACCTTTACGCAGCAACATAGAAAATAGGTGGGAATCATCACACTCATAAAAAAAGCAAGAGGTTGCTTCATACAGAAAATGAGATAAAAGTAGCATTTAAAGGCACCTGGATTTATACCACATACAAATTCAGCTCAGTACGCTAAAACTTCCCAGGGAATAACTAGCAGGTTCTTCAGGCACTATCCTGAGCACCTCAGAACACCTCAGGATAAAAACCACACTTCCAGGCAGTTCTGCCTTGTCACAAGTAACTACCCGTTCTTCCATAAAGACAAACATTTCCTACCTCACCAGCACAGCACAAGGCTTTCTGAAGACAATCACTGCAAGAGGCATCGCAAGCTCCACCTTACAAGCAGCTTTAACTAATTCTGAAAGAACTAAACAAGATTGCCTAAGTGCCTTTGGAGATGCTGGAGGGGACTGATGGTAGCAGAACTGTTCTTCATCTTTCAACCATGCAGACCTTGCCTCTCTGCATTCCCAAGACATTTGTTGTGGTTGCTCATGATTAATGCTCTACCCTGAACAGGTCATTTGTTGTGGTTAATCATAATTAAATACCTTCCCAAGAGCTGGAGATTCTTTCATGGCTGCCACCCCACGTACTCTCACTGCTCACCCTGATGCCAGCTGATCTTCTACACCAAAGCTAACGTCATTAATCTGCAAGGTAAAGGCATTGGTTTCTTATTGCTGTCTATGCATTAACAGGCTTTGGGCTGTTATGCCCACCCCACTTAATCCTGCTAAAATATAAGCTACACTGAATCTTACTTAACACAACAGGTAACCAACTGTATCCACCAAGGAGTTAGTCTGCAACTGTTTCAAGGAACAAGTGGAACTAATACTACCAAACGTCTCTCCTATAGATGCAACCTAACTCCCATGTACAAGAGACACAACTGACCAGCCCAGCTGGTGACAGGAAAAATGCCAGTCTTAAGAGCCAGCAAAACAGGCAGAAAAGGGTTTTTTTTAACTGAGATTTTGCATGGTCAGGAGCTGGGCGCCAGCACAGCTTCTGGGGAGACATGGGTCTTCTCTTCCCACTGCATGATGCTATTCCCTATTGCCAGATCCCAAACGCAGCGGTGAGATACACCCTCTGGTCTGGCAGTAACTAACTCAGCAGAACTTACTAAGCCATAAATAAGCAGCTAAGTAGGCAAAGCGGTGATGGGAACTCAAACAATTAAAAAGAGAATCATATAAATTCTCACTTTGTAAGAATCCCACTCTGTAACGCTGAGTGATCTGACCTGGGAAGCTTTTAGCTACTAATACCTCAACTGAAACAAAGCAAATGAGCTGGTACCACCACCATCTCTCCTTCCAGCACCTCTGACAGATCATTCAGGTTTAACATATAGAGAGATTGAAGCCTAGGAAGATCTGCTTCCTAGTCTCTCCTTCCAGCACCTCTGACAGAGAGAGATTGAAGCCTAGGAAGATCTGCTTCCTACACATTTTTCAAGTGATTTTCCAAATTCTCCCTTTTTCCCCTAAGTCCCACTAGACTGACACCTCCTCCTCACCCCAGCTAGACTGACCGTGTGTTGTCAATCTAAAAAGCAATACATTCTGTAGCAAGAGCCAAAATTCCAACCCAATGGGAAGCAGGAGAAATGGTAAATATAGTGAGATTAACTTCAGCTCTAAGGCTGATTCCTAAGCTCCAAAATTCAACAATTTGCTCACAAGAGCTCAACTAGAAATGCTATCAGACTGATTCAAGGACCAACCTGGATAAAAGCCCTTTTTCCCTATCTTGTATCTCTAGTGAAATCTCTAGCAAGATACAGATTAAGCTGTTCTCAGGGGCAGCTCAGACCCCTAGAGGCAGAGGGAAGATTCCCATACTGCTTAGAAGCCGAATTAGTCTCTTATTTTATCTTTCCCACTGAGAATTTTGGGATGCACCCTAAAAAGCAATCTCAGCCATGCTACAAACTAAACCACTGTGCACTGAAGAGATGATCTATCCAACTGAAGAGGAGATCTGCTCTTCAGGCATCACTGGCAACTTGAAGGGGGAAAATTTTCCTGCTAAGAAATAGCTTACCCAAACAATCTGACCTCTTGAAAAAGGGTAGTCACCCAACAGGTGAAGCATCAGAAGCACTAAAAGTGCAACCTAACTATAAAGACTAACAGCAATCATTTTCTAACAGTGCCTCTGATCCATGACCTAACCAAGGTACCAGAAGGTAACCAGAAATAGAGAACGAGAGGCAGGATACGTTGAGTGGCAGACAGAGAAGTGTTGCAGGGGGATTTCCTTTACTTTCACGAGCTGTCGTCTTTGCTTCATGTTTTCAGCCTCATGCAAGGAGAAAAGGTTTGGCAAGAAGCCTTATTGCACGAGACAGCAACTCCAGACCACTCCTGGACATCTGGAATGGTTAACGGCAGCACAGCATCCAGTGGACACAGAATAATTACTGTCCTCCATTGTAAGCGTAGTCGGCCTTGTTGTGCATAATCAACTTGTTGTCCACAAAGTAAAAGCTGTCTGAGCGGGTCTCGTATGGATTTTCAACCATCAGACGGACTGTGAAAGAGAAAGCTCAATTACATTCAAAAGCCTGCCACACTCCACTGGACAGCACAAAGTCAGAGTAAAAAGGACTCTGCCACTCTGCTGGGTTTACCGGGCTGGTGCTCTACCCTATGCAAGCAAGAGAAGCAAACTGCTCTGCTAAGCACGCTTCAAAAGCTCTGGCCTGCCCCTTCCTATTCTTCCTATTCACAGGACAAGTGCTGTCAAAAGCAAACAAAGGGGGACGGAGTAATCTCACACAGGACGCCCTTAGAAACTGTCAGAGCCACCACTAGAGCAGAGCAGCAATCACGTCTGTAAGCAGAGAGGTTGCAATCCACAATGAAAAAGCGGTGGCACTCCCCACATGCACAAACTCTGTGCCTCCTCCCGCACCTAGGCAGCCACAGAAGGGCCCACGTGCTCCTGCTCTATCCACCCCCTGAGGTCAAACATACCCTTCACAATGTATATTTGCAGAGATCTTGGTAGGCTCAAAAACACACCCCTCGGTGAAGAGCCAGTTCTGTTCCAAAGCAGGAGGCTCAAGCCCTAACAAGCAAGGGCTGAAAACAGACGTGTGGCTACCAAGAGAACCCTTTTTCAGGGTTTTGGTATCTTCTGGGCTACGCTGTTAGACATCAGGCATGTCAGCCCTGTGACTCTGATCAGTTCTTGCAGCCTGTGACTTGACGACACAGGTTGTCTTAGGCTTTCATTTTTAATGAAGGACAAATTGCAGCACAAATCTGTAATTCAGTCAAGATTACACACGGCTTAAACCAGGAACCTGTATCTATGCATCCCAGTCACAACTTCTTTCACAAGTAGAGAGAGGGAGAAAATGAGCATATGCACACACACAAACAAAACACACCTCAGCATGGGAAAGGAGATACTTACTAAGGTCTTCTGAGAGCTGAGGGAATTCATAAATGTGTTCACATGTGTTCCTGCTACTGGGGATGCAGAAGCCAAAATCAAAGTCAAAGTTCTTCAGCAAGCGATCTCGGAAGTAATGTCTCTCAATCATTCTAAAGTTTGACACTGGCTTTTCTCCCACTGTGAATTCCACTCTGTATGCAGAAAGTAGGAAAAAACAGCTAAGACAACATGCCTCTCTTCCTATTGGGAAGAACAGAGCCTTGGACTCGAGGCTACACAAGAATGCAACAGATCATTCCAGAAAAAGAGACTTTGAGATTTGTACTGTAAGATGGGTTCTCTCTAGTCTTTGCTCAAGTTTTGTTATAAACTGTCAAGTGACACTTTGTAAACATCTCATTCTCCCTTATTTCTATGAACTCATACTCACGTTGCACCAACAGTGCGAAGACGGAGAAATGCTGGGGTGAACTGGTAACGAACAAAGCGGCCTGCACTAGCGTCCAGTTCACTGTTGTCATCTTCATCCTCTTCATCTTGCTCTAGAAAATGCACCAGCTCAGTTATTCTGCTAATAGCATACATGTAAAGTAATACTGGCTAGTGGGTATATCAGGACAAGCTTGGTATTACTTAGGCAGTGAACATAAAGGTCTTTAATAATTGGTCTGAGACTCATACTGGCACTAAGTAATAAAGATCTGCTATGACAGCTGGCGCAGCCTTGGTGGCTCCAGAGCTGAAATCTCACAGGATATCCCCCCTCATGATTGCCAAAGCACATGAAAGAAACTCTGCACCACCACCAGCCAGAAAGGGAAGATTTGCCGCTTGATAGTACTCCCCCATCTCACGATAATCACTTTACATTTTTATGACAAGTTTCTCAGCAGAGGTAAACTCAGTGCTGTGCTTAAAGGAGAGGAACTTGGTCACCAGGACATACTGAAGGACCTTTCTGCTTGGTTTGCATGGGTCCTGCATTGCAGCTTCTCAGTTCCTCGAGCCTCTCTCTAGCCTCCCTGCAATGTTAGCATGATACCTGAAGCAGACGGCTTTGCAATTTCAAACAGCACTGTTCCAGTTTCAAGGTCCCGGATCTTAAACCTGGTGAAGTCAATGTTGTAAATGTTGTCCTCAGGTTTGCATAAATAATCTAGAAGAGAGAGAAAACATATAGTAGCATTTCAAAAGATCTCTGAGCAATTACCAAAGGAATTTCTTGTTCTGTTAGCCCCAGCCCAGCCTGTTAAGATACATACTGCAAGTCGTTTTGCAGAAGCTTAATGAAAGCGGGACAAAATTGAGGCTAGAAGAAACAAAAGCATGCTACGTGCCAGGTAGCAGAGCAAGAAAGGGAAGGGGATCGGCACAGAAAAGCAGAGATCAGCAGCCCAGACGAAAAACAAACAAAAAAAAAGCCCCCAACCCCCCAAACTTTCTGGCAGCTGTAACAAAGCTGAAGGCAGGAGCACACGGCGCTGCTGCAGCCAGCGCCGGCCAGCCCGCCCGCTCCTCA